TCCACAATATTCTGACCAACAGCCACGTTTGTAACTTAAACATCGGTTTGATTTTTCGCACTTGTGCAGTGGAACGTCTCGAAACATGCAGTCTAAATAAAAGTTTACTTTAGTTAAATATTAACATTGGTAATGGTTGATAGGAGCGTAATAAGCCGAAGACCTGTGCATGTGCAGTTGTTTTCGTCGCTCGAGTCCTCACAATCCGCAACACCATTACAGACCTTGTAAAAGGGGATACAGACCTGTTTAGTGCTGCACAAAAGAGCGTTGTTACGACAGCTGATGCATCCTTTTTCATCACTTCCGTCCGGACAGTCCTCGACCCCATCACAGATCTGGTCCTAAAAATCATAGAAACTTAAAAAAAAGACATTTTAGTAACTTGTAAAAGCTCTCAAAATGTACTTTTAATTTTAAAACTTTAAAATAATATTGGACGCAAAAACTTACCTTGACGATGTAATGCTAAACTTAGTAAAAACTTCATCTGTGCTAGTTGACCAGAAACCTCAATTCTTACTTGTTTTAGAAATTTCCGTTTTTCATAGAACGTACCAACTACACACGAAAAGACACCGGACATATGACAATTTTCCTCATCGGTTCCATAGATGCAATCTTTTCTGCCATCGCAAGCCTGGACAAGCAAAACATTATCAAAAGTAGCCAGAACTCATCCAGTAAAATACGACTAAAAGAATTAAAAGATAATTTAAAGTAATCTCTCGTCTACTTTTTTTAGTGTTACAGGAGAATGTTAAACAAAAAAAAAAATAGCCGCTGAGTACTGAAAGCATCAAGTATAAAAAATATCAATTTTTTCAGAGAAATATTCTAGTCATACCATCGATTTCGGCAAGCACTTTTTTTCGTCCTTGCATGAAACTGCATGAACATTATCGCACTCATCACACGAACTGCTGCAGACAGCTATGCGACCAGCGCAAGCTAACTTTTTTTGATATGGACGTCCATCAGCGCAGTACACAAGGTCGCTCTAAGTAAATGAGCTTACATTACAAAAAAATTATGAAGCAAATGTGAGCTTCTGAACAGAACTATTCTAACCAATTACATTAGCAGAGCACAGCAGAATTTATAAAATAAAAGTTGAAACACTATTAATTACTGTACTTCTGACATAGTTTTCCAACACACGCATAAATGCAAAAAAACAAATGTAGTTTAAGAAAAAACTTTTGGAATTGAATCAGCATTGCATGTAGTAGTGCAGTTTTCTTCATCAGCACCGTCTGAACAGTCTTTAAAGCCATCACATAACTGCACCCTCTGTATACAGGCCTTTGTTTTTGGACAAAGTACTCTGTCCTTCCCGCAGCATTCGTTACAAGTACAATTCTTAAAAATAAAGCGTTTATAAACAATTCCCTCCAACAATAGTTGCTTTAATAAATTTGCATCGTAAGATTGATAAATGTCAGCAACCTGCCAGACCTAGAGGACTAAAAGAGTACAACTTTTAGCAGGATAAAAAACTTTACTTGTTCATCGCTGCCGTCCGAACAGTCATGAACTCCATTACACAACTTCCATTTTGGAAGACATTTTTGACTATCCTTACACCAAACGGCTCCGTTTTGACACTTACCATCGCACTCTAGTTCATCCTCATTACCTGGACAGTGGTTCTCACCATCACACTTGAATTTTTCAGAGATGCATCGACCAGAAGTCCCACATTGGAAATTCAACTCCGTACTGTTGCATGATGAAGAGAAGGCTATAAGTAAACGAATCTGAACGACAGCTACTTCTTCCTGCTATAACAGCTGACCTATCAATAACAAATAGATGATCTTCCTATAAATACTACTCTTCTTGGATAAGAAGCACAGGAATCACATTAAACCTCCCGTATCGTTGGCCAAGGCATAGTAAGTAAAATAACAAATAACCTTACTACTACTTTTGAATACAATACTACCCCAACTTTTCCTCACTTTTAATGGTGTCTTATAACTCAACATATGTTACCGCAAGACTCTTCGTCGCTTCCGTCAGCACAGTCGTTCTTATTATCGCATAGTTTGTCAGCTCGTAAACAGGTAAATAAAGAGGTTTTCTTGTTTTTAAGCAATTTCGGACATTTAAAAGCTGTTTGGCAGTCTGGAAGAAGGAGAACTTTGGAAAGAAACTGCCCATACTAAAATTTCTCATTCAAGCTACAGCAGAATTCATGTAATTAAAAACTACATTTTTTTAAAATCATTTATTGACACAAAAAAAAATGGAGAGTTATCTTACAGTTTTCAAGTAATATTGAAAATAATAAACTTCAAGTGAGGTTTCCAACTTACCAGTGCAAAATTCTTCATCGCTCCCGTCGCTGCAGTCCAACCTACCATCGCATCTCTGATAACGGTTGATAATGTGTTCCTGCATAAGAAAAGCCGTTTTATTTATCTCTTCAAATTTTTTTTCACTACTATGAAATGTTAATAACATTTAACTTTTATATGGAACACAATTTCTTACCGGTTGTGTTGTACATGCAAAGCCATAATTGCGACAAAAAGAAACGTTTGGCGGCATAAAGGAAATAAGAAACTGGATTCCCGGTAATTCTTCCTTGAAATCAGGTTTTTGATAAGCCATTTGAATGGCTTCAGGTTTCATAAGTGACTGTAGTGCGCCGTAGTTAGAAGGATCTTCCCCCTAAAAATCTTGTTATTTTGCGTCCGTATTGCAGCTAATTTGCAATAAATTACTAAGTAGACAGCAAGCAGTATCTTATGCTTACTTCATGAACAGATGCTGCGAATAAGGATGACCAAAGAAAGTAAATTAATGCTGCAATTGAACCTAAAAGTAACAGCGCCAAAAGAATGAGAATCAAAAGAAAAAGCCATGTTGGCACAGATTCTAACTGTGAACAACAGCTTCGAGCTAAACGTTCCTGTAGCATCCTAACAGCAGGCAACGGACCTGTGCTAAAAGTAAAGCCAATTAGTGAGGTTTTTAAAAATTTTTTGGAGCCCCTCAATAAGCTGTCAACAGCTTTTTCATTCTGAACACACCGAGAATCTATAAAACGTACTTTTTTGTCTGCTCATCAAAATTATTTCTGCTGCCAAAGCCAGACTTCATCATCCGTAACGGTGCATCTTTCCTTTTAACAGGGTCAACATCCTAAAGTACATGGTGCTTTCAACCTAATATACTGTCTCAAGAAACACACTAAAAGTAATGCTGATGTGCTGTAAAATTTATTACCTCAGCAGGTGAGTACGAGCCTCGATGTGCATTGAACTCTTCGTCACCTCTGTATGGCATTGCCATATTGGCAGACGCTTAACAGTATATTAACACTTTACAAACATAATTTAATTTTAATACATAAAACCGAAATTCGTGTTCTATACATGTGTAGAAAAATACAACAAATAAACTTGCAGCATTACTTATCTACTCGTTACTTATCTCTTCTATTTTCTACAGTAAAAAAATTCAACTTGAATCACTGATTGAGAAGAGTTTTCAACAGACCAAGTAAGGAATTATTACGAAATCAAAAGTTGCACTGGAAACAAAAACAATAACTAATTTTCTAAAAACCAACTAATTTCAATATTTCAAAGTGACGATTGATTAATTAGTACGACATTTACCTACTTTTCTCATCATAACCTTGAATCGTTGAAAATTCACTCAAAAATTATAGTTACAAAAGACACCCGAAACTGACCTGGTGAAATCTCGGTAGACTTGAGAGTGTTCAAATAAAATTGCCCAATTTCCATTTAGCTTTATCATAAAAAGAAAACACTAAGAAAAAACTGCTATTCAAAATTTTATCCTTTTTTATTCTTTTCTTTTTTATATAAGAAAGTAATATACATCTTAGACAGTCATATATAAAAAACTTTTGCAAATATATCGCATGAAAAAAATAGCATTTACAATTAAGTTATACTGAAAAATGATAAAAAGTAAATTTAAAAACAAATGCAGTGAAGTTGAAGATTACGCTTATTACAAGAGCCCAAAACAAGGATAGTGGTTCTGATGTATAAAAGCATTATCGGCAAAGAAAATAATTGAATTTGTTGGGTAAAATAAACCTAAATAGAGTGAATAGTTAGCAAAAGTAATTGTCTAATTACTGTAATACCTGACTATATCACAAAGAGATACTAAACCAAAAACATTTTTTAAAATTTTCTCAAATCTTATCTTTTTTTTTTTGCATATAAAACTGAAAACTGTCTTAGATAGTTGTTATTTGTAGAAAATTCATATAAATACTGTATACACCAAAACCCAGATCTAAATTTTCTTATATGTTGACAGCAATAAAACGTAACTAATACAGTTAAAAACAATTGCTTTTTTTGAACTATTGTACACAATATGAACAAGACGAAAATAATAAACAGAATTAAGAGTTACGTATAATACTCAATTCCGCAACTGGTTCACTTGTCAAAAACTGGCATTTGCTCTTGACGTCTAAAACTAGGGATTGTTAAATGATACTCAACAAGAACAGGGCTAACCAGTAGACAACTTTAAAAAAAAAAGTCTAAAAAGCTTTATTTTTTTGAAAGTTGTTTTAATTGCAGCGAAAAGAATCGCATTAGCTGTTAATGAAAGAGTTCTGCAGTTGAGGGTGAAAAAGTAAGAAATAACTAACTGCGCATTTTTTGGCACCGAGTTATGCTGCAGGAACATATCTAATCCCTAGGAAGTTATATTTGAGGTCAACTGAAAAAACTTTCGATTTAGTAAGCCAAATTGATCTACATTAGACGCCTAAAATACAGGTTTTCTTTGAGTGTATTTTGACGCATAGTGCTCTGAGGATAGAAACATTTATAATGACCACTTTTTAACCCGCTGAGGAAATATTAAAACGGTAGTAGGTTTTGACTGACGTAATATTTGTATTTCAGTGTTCAGATTACAATATCTGTTAGTGTTACTACTTTTTTGTTCATTTTGATTGTTGGTTACGAATTGGTTTTAAAAACTTTGCTTTAAGACTTTCACTACCGTGTTATATTAGTCGACAGTGGACCACTTTGCAGAAGAATCGTGAAATCGTGAGTCCAAGAGGCTAATCATCTCCATCATACTTGAATAATGACGGTCTGTTTATTCTGAGTTGTTTTTGCAAGAATATGCGTATTATTTAGGAACACATAATGAAATACAAAGCTGTTACAAGAATTTTAATCATTTTCCTCTTTGCTATACGACTAATAGTTTTTTGCTATATTATTAATACTGCAGTTTTACAGACTATAGATTTACGGTTTTATGCTGTCTCGTTTTGATACCTTTATCTTAAATCTTACAGAACAGACAGTCAGATGCTTCTTCTTGAATAACTTCAACAAACAAACTTAATCATTAGTTCTTAAACGTTAATTACGTTTACTTTAACACTTATATCACTACACTTTTATCTCCTTGTATAATTTGTAAAAAAAAAAAAGACAGAAAAACGTTAATGCATTGAAAAATTGTTTATTTTGCCAGAAATGAAATTACATACTTTTTAGGAAACAGAGCCACGAGAAAGGTTTTGAAATAAATAAGTAATATGTTGCAGAGATTAATAGAAGTTCGAGAACATTGAAGAATATCTCACTTTTCACCGCTATTTACATTTTATTGATGTTTGAAAAGCATAGATTTCATTGCAAATAACTGCAGTGTTTGCTGTTGTAGCTGTATTTTAGAACTGTCATATCTATGAGTGAGAGATGTAGTCATTTAGGCTTACGTAGAATGATGACTGCCCTCCCAGTTGCTTCACAAATGTTATAAATCCATCATTTATAGAAACAAACACTTGCTCTTCTACAATTAAGCATTCTTCTGAGAACTTTTCCTTAGGCAGTGATAACAGTATAGGTGATCTACTGAAACTATAGTGCTATATTTTCCATTTGAATCGCAGCAAATAGTACGGAGGGACTAGAGACAAAAAAAGGAGTACTCAGCAGACAGAGCAATGCTTACTCAGGTTTTAATAAAATTCCAATTTTTCCTTAATTTGAACTTATTTAGTGCACACAGTTGTATTTATACCAGGATGGTCAACTGTATGAAACGTAGTGATCTATCGTGTAATATTGGCTGACTATTGCTATGCAGGAGTCTAATTGAATAAATTTTAAGGTGGTTCATCGTTGGACTAATCAAGTTTTTTCAAGTCTTTGACACATCGTAATCTATGCATTAAACGCATTTGAGGCGTTTTTTTAGATGTTTCTTTCGATTTTATCAAGCTCAGTAAAAAGAATTTATAAAATCGGTACTCCTTTTCTTAGGTGGCTATTGAAAATATTTTTTAAAGAAATTTTGACTTGAAACAAGTTTGTAACTTTGATTTGTTTCTGCAGAATTGAGGCAAGAGAAGGTAATTTGAAGTTGCCAAATAATACAAAGAATCAAACCATTACGACATCAAAATTGACCGTGAATTTTATAAGAAAATAATTTCTTGATAGTATTCTTTCCAAACATAACCTTTTTTATTTTTTTTTAACACTTCGATATTTATTTAGCAGAAACACATATTATTACTTTTGAATGCGTCAAGTCAGTTGGTCTGGTCATTGATTTCCCCTGTGCAAGAATTGATCTGCCTCACCGAAATAAAAGAAATAAATGTTTTTAAGTAGAAGGTTTCAAGCACTAGTCTTAAGAAATTAAATATATATTAACACCAAATGTGCGGTGCAGTTTATAACCAAATACTTTTTAAGGTGACTTATTTACATTTAAATATCATCGATGAAACATGGCATCTTAGATAACTACTAGGAACGACTCACTAGACATGCATAGCTTCAAATAACTTGCAAACTGTTCAATGGTTTTTTGAACGTGCACTAGTATATACTACAATCACTTGCAATTGTA